AAAAAAAAAGGGGGGGGGGTTTTTGTTCATTTACTTTATCATTTCAGACCCTATTTAAGGATTTTATTAAGTCTCAAAACTTACCAGTGGTTTTTATGAAGCCTAATTTTTAAAGTTTCGTCTTATGATATTTCAGACATTATCACCATTTTCCACATGTATTTTGGTTTTCAGTAAAAGTCTCAGCATAATATTACAGGGTGTGTATGAGTCATATTGAAGGCTTTCCACATAACAGTTAGAGCAGACAGAATATTCATAATACAGACATATGAATATTTACAAGGCGACTGTGTGTGCCAGCGCAAATGACAGAACGCACTGCTGTAACCGCTGCCACTGTAAAAACAGAGGCCGACACCAATTGTCACTGGAACTGGATTGTTTTCCACAAGCCATTCACTTGTGCCTTCAGAATATCACTGACACAATGATAACATGTACTGTAAAATCTACACATAGTGGCTTTAATCAAGCTGAAGTATGCTTAAAGTTCTCTATTATCAATTTTTGATCAATCAACATTCACTAACTGCTGGATTATTGGGACATTTAGGATATTAAATAGGGACACAAGCAAAAAAAAAAGTGGGCAAACAGTAATTTAGGTTATGGTGCGTCACTAAAACTCTCCCAGACTGATTAAAATGGACTCACAGGTCTTTAAGGTGATCCACTGTGTCTTAACATATGAATAAAAATGTTTGGAAGTATTATTTTATAGCAGAGCTCAGGCAGGAATCTCAATTATATATATTCTTAGGTGTAAGAAACATTTAGAGCAGAGCAATCAAATGTTCATGGTATAAAAGATATGAAGCAGAGGTTCAGAGAGAAGGACAAGTGGCAGGATGAAGTAAAACTACTTTCTACTCTACTGTTTATTAGGAAACTAGCAACAGTGAGAGTATGACCACAAATTCCTCCTCCCTGCATGACTCCTCTATTTGGACATAACTGTGCAGAAGCTAAAGGAAAATAAGTTACAGTGAATTAGTTTTCCAGTGACAGATGGCTGATAAACAGAATGGTTAGTTCGGTCAGTTTCCCTCAGTGAGTCCGCAGCAGCTCCGCCTCTGACAAAGTGCTCTGACACCCTCTGCTGGCAGCTTCAGGTAGGTATAGTACGACACACACGCCCCGCCAAGGGTTTGTAAACTTGCCAAGAATCATCTGAATCAAGAATCATACATGTATGACCTCATTTCATCCAGAACATCTACTGCTTTACTTGCTCAGTAACATATAAAATAGATCCAAAAGCCTCCCCATATATAGGATTTATTGCTGAAGACCCAAGCAGCCCACTTCTTCTTCACAGTATTATAGCTTATAGAGTGCTTCTGCCATTTTGAGTACTTCTGCCACTGAGAAGCGCCTTGAATATAACCAACTCTAAGCTAACAATAACTTAAATAAAGTGGAGTGAGAAGTTAAAGAGTCAGTCAGAATACTCTGAGATAATTATGTATGTCTACAATTCAGTTGTCTCACAGCAAAGACACCAGGTGGTTGTGCCTCTATAAGGAAAAATCAACATTTTTAAATAAAAAAAGCCAATAATGCAATCTGATATTCCCTTTAGAGCATGTAAAAATTACAAGTTTTTGCAGAAGTCTAGTGCAAACAACTGTGACTGTCCAAAGTCAGATGTTAGACATAAACAGTTAGTCTTATAGCTTGTTACGACAACACTTCACAACAACCAAGGTTGCTAAGGTCTGGCAAAGCAGAACTGCACAAGGCAGCCACTGGAGGATGTCACGTATAAAGTCCATGGTTTAACCATATTATCTAAAGCACTTACATGGAAGGGAAGCTAAAAAAGAATCTCAGAGTGATGAGCCAAACTACCTGGTGTCTAGCAGAGGTACTTTGGTATGCAACCTTGATTTAAATCGAGTGCACGTCTTTCAAAATTTAGAACTGCTTTAGTGCTCACACTACCTTCTCCTGTGTGGGGTGTTAGTAAAATGCAGTGAGACTCTGATCGGTTACATGTCCCTGTGTTTTACTGGTAAACTAGGCTACTGTTACACCTGGTGTTAAAAGACAGGTTCAGCTGGTCTTAATATAATATTAAAGTGCCCATATGCATGTGAAAATAGGTCTTAGACAGTGTAACTTCTCCTACTCTCCACACAGACACTGAAGGTTTCCACAGGGAATACAACTAATGTATGCTGTAAGAAATGAGGGGCAAAATACACAGCCCTTGTTCTGTGTGCTGCAGTGTGCTGTTAGCATAGTTGACCAGTATGTGATGTTTACACTACAAGTCCTTCGATTGCACAACTGGACGGGCAAATTGAAGTTGTTTCCAATTTTATGAACAGTCCCTCGAGTTTGGTTTCACATACAAATAACTGCTTTAGATAATTGTGGCTAACTGTGGACTTAGTTGCAATCTGTATGATCATCTGTTGCTGCCCTATTGGGTGGCTCTGCAGCTACCTGTGACAGTGTTATCTGAGCTGACATGAATAACGGCCAAACCTTATGAATGGAACAAAACT